TTTTTCTTCAAATACTGCCTTGGAGACTGAAAGGATGTGAATAAACGGATTTTTCATTTGAGGTTATTGGTTTCGGCCTTCTTCACTAGTTTTAACGCCTAAACTAATGGATTTAGCTGGTAGGGTGTTCGGGCATTCTAGGGGAATTTTGCATCAAAATGAAACATTTGGGGATATTCCAAAAATTAGGCTAACATTAGGGGTGGAGGAGGGAAGGCGTATATGAAAATAATATAATTTCAATTGTTCGTATGATTCCGCAAGTGTACGGATCGTGACTAGTAATAACAGCGAATGTTTGAGTCCGAATATCATTCTCAGATAAATTAAGTACTTACTATCAATTTTTATTCTAATATGACTTCAGTCTAAATTAATGTGGTAATCTACACGAAATAAATAACTATATAACAAATTAAGTCTCACATGAATTAAATACATCTAGATTTTATAGTTACAGGAGAAGCAATTATCTTATTACCACTTAGTAATACTTGCAAATATCATTAATAGTTATATTTGGTGATATCGATTTTCGGCACTTGACAATAATAATTTTGAATATATGTATTATTAATAATACATATTCAAAATTATCTATTTTTCATCATTTAGGAGTTAGAAATAGTAAATCAAAGGTTAAATAATAGTCCCCGAGGGAAATGATCATTTGAACTCATAAATCCATTGTATTACTTGTTTAAGATATTATACGTTTGCAATAGAAATCAGCAACAGTAAGCTTCTACCGATGATGTGGAGATATGAGGTGAAATGAGCTTTGCTTGGATGGGCTTAGTAGATTAGGTAGCTTATCCTTAACTTAGGCGCGGAGCCAGCACCCTGCGAGGGGGCGCGGCTGCGCGTGCTAGCTCTGCCGAAATTTGCAGAGCCATCGACAGTGTCACCAGTGTGGTCGCCGACGGTTGCCGAGTTGCCTGGAGAAGAAGAAGATGGAAACCCTCAAACCCGTTTGATTTATTACTATTATTTTTTGTTGGTTTGGGCTTTTGCACAAAATGTTGGGCCTTTTATTATTTAGCCCAAAAGTAAAATTAATTTATCCAAAGTCCAAACCCATTACCCATAGTAATACCCATTTCATTTGCCCTTTCAGATTTCAGTTCGTGACTTCGTTGGTTGCTGGCTAGGATCTTCTTCTTCACATTCATTTTCTGGTTCAGAAAAATCTAGTGCCAATCGCTGCAGTCAGCAGACCAAAACTCGAACTCGAAGGCCCGAAGTGCCTGCTTCTGCTGCTACCTGCCGAGACTGCCGACTCCGACTGGTAAGTGGTAACTCTTTTTTATTCCAGCTTTCCCTCTTTAATTTTTTTTTTGTTCTTCTTTTGGTTTTGTTCTATTTTGATTTGGCTATTTTGATTTTGTTGAATTTTGTTACTGTACTCAAGTTGAATTGATTGAATTGTGAATTTTTAAGAGGATATTTATTTTTTAGGATTTTGTTGGATTTTGGTTTTGTTCTATTTTTTTCCGGCTTTCTGCCTAGTGCCTAATGCCTATTGATTGAATTGTGAATTTTTAGGAGAATATTTATTTTTGTAGAATTGAACTGAAATCTAGAACCGGACCTCTTTGCTAATAAAACTGAGAGCTCAATAGCCCCCTAGCTTGCTAAAATAAGCTTGACTTCAATTAACGCATTCGGTATCAATAAAGTTTTTCAAGTATTCAGTTTTTCCGAGCTCCACTCATGTGCATCCCGATGAAGAGACTATATTTCCTAATGCTAAAAGCCAAGTGAATGTCCCATGGCTCCATTAGCATTTCAGGATAATTGAGGACCAAATAAAATCAATTGTCTGAATCTTCAAGTAGCAGAGGCTCTAAGAAAATTAAAACTGATATATTTGAAAAATAAAACAACCTATACATAAAAAATGATGATCTATTCTTCAGGCCCGGAATCATAACGTTCGATTTCAATTTTTCTATAGTGATTGAATACAAAAGAATCGAAATTTATGGTTCAATTTCAATTCTTGAAATACCAGATCAAACCACCCATAGTTGTGAATAGGGTTGGAAGTTGGAACATTATAAAAACCACCAGAAAACATGATGTTCTTGTGTCCATTAATCTGATTCTTTGTTGGTTTTATAACCCATGTGTACTTGGTTATTTTTTTAATCAATTGTAATTGAAAAATGAATTGGGACATTTGCAGATTATGGAACGATTTTTTCAACCAAAACGAAAGTCCATACCCAATTCTTCTACTTCTAGTTGTGCATCTAGTCCCGCCACTGATTCTAGTCGAGCACAAGAGTTATTGAATGACACAAAGAAGTCCCCGGCTCAATTTAATGTGGATGATCTTGTATTTGATCCAGGGATATGCTCCCCTATCGAGTCGTATAATCCTAATATCAGAGATGATGTCAGGATGGCATACTTGGAGAAGGGTCCTTGTCAACCATATGGACATGATTTTCTAAGAAGACCGATGGGGAATGATAATAGATGTTTTTGAAAAGAATGGTTCTCCGAATTTCATTGGTTGGAATACAGCATAGAAAAGGATGCGGCGTATTGTTTGCATTGCTACTTGTTCAAACCTGATAGAGGGGGTCAAGGGGGTGGCCATATATTTACTAAGATCGGCTTTAGGGATTGGAAGCACAAAAAGACATTGAAAGATCATGTCAGTTTCTTTGATAATGCTCATAATCAAGCTTTTACAAAGTGTACCAACTTGATGAATCAAAAGCAAAGTGTCTCATATGTTATGTCTAGCCAAAGTAGTAGTCAACAACAAAGTTATAAGACCAGGTTGAATTTGGTGCTAGATTGTATTAGATTCCTCTTGATGCAAGGATTGTCATTTCGTGGTCATGATGAATCGAAAGAGTCTCTTAATAGAGGTTGATAATGCTCATAATCAAGCTTTTACAAAGTGTACCAACTTGATGAATCAAAAGCAAAGTGTCTCATATGTTATGTCTAGCCAAAGTAGTAGTCAACAACAAAGTTATAAGACCAGGTTGAATTTGGTGCTAGATTGTATTAGATTCCTCTTGATGCAAGGATTGTCATTTCGTGGTCATGATGAATCGAAAGAGTCTCTTAATAGAGAAAATCTAATTGAGTTACTAAACTTGTATGTAGCTCATTGTAAAGAAATTAAAGAAGTATTATTTTGTAATGCTCCTGGAAATGACCAAATGACTTCACCAACCATCCAAAAGGATTTGATTAATTGTTGTGCCGTAGAGACGACAAGGGCTATTACCAATGAGATAGGTGATTCTTTGTTTTCAATTTTGGTTGATGAGGCTCGTGATAATTCTATGAAAGAACAAATGGCAGTTGTTTTGAGGTTTGTTGATAAAAGTGGGCGAGTGAAGGAGCGTTTTTTAGGTATGTCCCATGTCACTAATACTTGTGCCCAATCACTGAAGGATGCCAATGATGCAATGTTTTCTACACATGGGTTGAGCATATCTAGCCTAAGAGGTCAAGGCTATGATGGAGCAAGTAATATGTCATGTGAGTTTAATGGGTTGAAAGCTGTAATTTTAAGAGAGAACACACATGCTATGTATGTTCATTGCTTTTCTCACCAGCTTCAGTTGGCAATTGTATCTGTCACACGTAGGAATTGTATGCTTGGTTATTTGTTTAACGTACTTGCTATTATTATGAATTTGGTTGGTGCATAAAGCTAATATTCTGGAGAAGCTTAATATTGGGGAACTTACTAGTGGAAGTGGTCAGTTTCAAGAAATGAGTTTGGCATGCCCAGGTGATACTAGGTGGGGCTTACATCTATTGACAATTACTCGTTTCATTAATATGTTTAATGCTATCATAGATGTTCTTGAAAAATATATTAGAAGATGGCGTACATCCAGATCAAAAATCTTCGGCTGTAAGACAGATGAACGCTATGCAAGATTTTGAGTTTGTGTTCAGTCTCTACTTTATGTTTGAAATTCTTGCAATTACAGATGACCTTTCACAAGTCTTACAGAAAAGGGATCAGGATATTTCAAAATGCAATGGGGTTATAGAATTTGTGTAAGTGTGCATTGCAGAACCTGAGAGAGAATGGTTAGGATACTTTGTTGAGTAGGGTGATTGAGTTTTGTATTGATAGACATATTTTAGTGCCCAATATGGAGGATATTGTAGTAGTGAAAGGTCGACCTAGCATGTAGCTCAGTAGGTGACTTATTTTCATCGCTTTTATGTTGATTTGTATTGTCATGCGATAGACTCAATCTTGCAAGAGTTGAATGATCGTTTTCCAGAAACAACTACTGAGCTCTTTACTTGCATTTCATGTTTAAGTCCAAGAGATTCATTTGCAGCTTTTGATAAGAATAAATTGCTACGTCCTGCTCAGTTCTATCCTTTGGACTTCAATAGTGAAGAGCTTTTATTACTTTGATCTTAGCTTCATAAGTTTCTTTTGCTTGTGAGAATGGACAAAGCTTTCTTTAATCTCAATAGCATATTTTGTGTAGCTCAGAAGTTGGTTAAAACTGGAAGTTCCTGCTATTTTCCATTGGTTTATAGGCTGCTCACCTTGGCATTGATATTACCTACGGCAACTGCAAGTTCAAAGGGTATTTTCTACTATGAATCTAATCAAGAGTGATTTGCGCAACAAAATGGGAGATGTCTGGTTGAATGACAGTTTAGTCGTTTACGTGGAGAAAGCTATTTTTAAAAAACTTGAGAATGAGGCAATATTGCAACGTTTTCAAATCATGAGACCCTGTAGAATACAGTTGTCTAAATTTACAGTTACAGAGTAACTGAGTAAGGTTGTATCGTATTTTTTTTTTTACTATTTTGGGTTGTATTGAAGTATATTTTCATATGTATACAATTTTGACGTTTCAGTTCATTTACATATTTACTGAATAACTTTTAATATTATATAACTACTTGTATTAAACGATCGGACTATTATGATCATCGACGGTCAATGGTCAACCAGTCCTAGTCCGATCGTCGACGGTCAATGGTCAACGGTCAACCCGCCCTAGCTAGACTTCGATCCTGGATTCACCGCTGCCTTAACTGATATATCCTTATAAGATGAGATAATTTTTTACTAAATCAACTAAAAATTTAAAGAATAAGAAACAAAAAATTCACCTTACCTTATAGTGACCATATGAGTATGAGAGCTGCTTCAGCTTTGTTCTATTAGTATAAAGGGCGTTGTTAGTAACTAAACATTTTTGTTAATGAAATGGGTTTGAAAGGGACGGTTAATCAAACTGGCGTTGCAATTTGATCCGAAACCTGTGGCCACAGACTTCTCAAATTAACTACATTTATTTTAGTCCCTGTTTGGTACTGTTAAAGATTTTGATTGAAGTTTAAGCCAAAATCAACCATTAATTTTAACCATTCGTTCCATATTGTTATGTTTTAATGTAATTGACGATTCTGTGAACAAAATGACTAGAGGGAAAAAGTGTGAAAGTCGAGGAGTTAAGTTCAATTTTATATAGTTGTGTTAGGTAGGTTAGGGTTCAAGCTCTGAATAAGGAAAGAAGTGCCGCCACAATTTTGCTTGCCTCTTGCCAACACACTGTTCGAGCGACAAAAAAAAAAATATTGTTAGCTTGTTGCCAGGACATCGCTCGAGCGAAACACCATTGGTCGCTTTTCGCTTGGCTATTGTTCAAGCGACAGTGCATAACAGAAATTCCTAATTTGAGATTTTTGAGAATTTTAACGGGACCGTACTGTCGAAAACGTCCTTTTGTATAAATCCCTATACCGTTTTCACAAAAAAACTTTGGATTGTTCATTGTGTGAAAACACATAAACTATTCATATATCGTTCCATCCATTAATCATTGAAACTTGCAATTGAAAAACATTGAAGTTCAAAAATCAAACACAAAAAACCCATACTTTCAGAATATTTGTCAATGTTGAAGATCAAGGAAGGTAACTGCAGTTCCGATTGTTGGAGAACAAGGAGTTCTCTTGAATTCACAAGAGATAGATGAAATCAGAAAGCCTGAAGTTGGTGCAAGAGCACAGAATCCATGAGGGCTTTGGCAATTAAAGCTAGGAGGTCAGAAAGTACTTGCATTGGTAGAGTCTGGCGGTATTATAAGTTGATTCGTTTATAGAGGAATCATACTGACTTGGGCCCGGAGTGTTTAATATCGTGAGAGGTTTTCTCCTTCGTCAAATATCCTGTAATTTTTATTTTCCAGCATTTTATTATATTCCGGCAATTCAACATAGGGTAAATTGCATGTAAATTCATTTGGACTAATTAATATATGTGATGTGTTAAAATTATTAATTAATTTGCGTAAATTCCGTGCAAACGCGTATTTACCACCCCTCTAGGTGTTAGTTGGGTCAAACTGCATAACTTTCACATATGATTTACAGCCTTTCAACCATACATTCCATCAATTTTATCAAAATCGTTTAGGCCTTGTTCGATGACTATTATTTCAAAAATCTTTAGTTCTCATATTCAATTTTCAACCATACATTTATACAATAAGCCCATGTTTGGGCTCTATTTTAATTTTAATACATTTTTCTATTTCTTCTTTTTAATTACACATCTTTAATAAGATAATATTACATGGAAATCCAAATTATTTTCTTCTTTCTTTAATGTACATTCTCAAAAATAAATAAATCAATCAATAAATCAATAAAAAATCAGTATTTCAAAATATATATTTTCCCCAAAACTCATTAATAGAGAGCCCAAACAAGGGTTATATTATTTTTACAAGTAAAATCAAATTTTTTTCCTACTTTTTGACTGTACATTCTCCAAAAATCACTATTCAAAAGTCCATTTTCTCATAATAATGACCATCAAACAAGGGCTAAAAATCTGATCAATCTCAGCCAAATACGGGCCTAGTAGTCATTGAACCTTATATTTTGAAAAATAGACCCACAACAAGTGACATTCCAATGACATCTAATCATTTGATTAAATTATATTAGATTAAATTGCAATCATTTCTAGAATTCACTTTAATTATCCAATGTTAATATAGAGCCCAAACAAGGGTTATATTATTTTTACAAGTAAAATCAAATTTTTTCCTACTTTTTGACTGTACATTCTCCAAAAATCACTATTCAAAAGTCCATTTTCTCATAATAATGACCATCAAACAAGGGCTAAAAATCTGATCAATCTCAGCCGAATACGGGCCTAGTAGTCATTGAACCATATATTTTGAAAAATAGACCCACAACAAGTTACATTCCAATGACATCTAATCATTTGATTAAATTATATTAGATTAAATTGCAATCATTTCTAGAATTCACTTTAATTATCCAATTTATTAAAGATACAAGTCAATTAAGAATGAACCTTGCTTGGTGTACAAGGAAAGTGTTGCTAGGATCATTACAGGGAGGATGTGGTATCATTCCATTGGATATTGATAAAAAAAAAAATTAAAAAATTCAATTAAATAGCACCTGTGCAGCCTCTGTAGGTTATTCCCCTGTACAAGGGAATAACCCATTAAGAGTCACCCTTATTTTAGTTGGGGTTAAATGTAATTGAAAGATATATCAGAATCAAATATTTCTTAAATGTCAAAATCCTGGAGAAGTAATGATGATATCTGATGAATAAGCATTGGTTAACTCTATACCAATAATTGCATTAATTTTATCTATACTAATATCATTCGTAGAACTATACATGTCAAATGATTTCAGAAAATGAATTTAAACTATTTCTTCTTGATAATAATCACTGGAATAATTGAAGTGCTTGTGCCTCTCAATATACCACAAGCTCCCATAAGCCTTCCTTTAAAATTTGTAAATCTTATTCCTCACTAGACAGATTTCCACAAATTACAGTTACAAATAATTGCATAATAAGTTTGGAACTTTTTTACCTATTTTCTCTAAAAGATATTCATTAACTAATATATATCTCACTGCGGAAAAAAAATCAGATGAATTTTGCTTGGTGTAATTTTACTTGAATATAAGATAAAAAAAATATTATTGTTATCTCAAAAATAAGCTCATGTTTGGTGGGGATTATAATCAAATTTTTAGTAAATTTTGATAGAAGTTGATAAAACGTGTTTAAAAATTGTGTGTCGTGTAAAATATTTTGTTAAAAATAATTGTAAACTTTGACTTGAAATAAAATAAAATATTTCTACAAAATTGCCAAACAATTAGAGCCACTCATTTAAACCCTTTCCTAAATTATCCTTATTTCTTATGAACTTCCAAGTCACGTCATCCTTGAAGTCAACTCTTTTTTCTATAAAATATGAATTATTTAAATGTTGAACAATCATAAATGCTGGTTTACCCAGTCAAATTATTCATACCTGCAACTACTAGCTAGAAAAAGTAAATCAAGCAAGCATTTGAATCCGTCTTGTACAAGGAAGGTTCCTAATACTCGACCAAGGTCATAACCAAGAAATTTCATTTTTATGTTGAAAACAAAAAGTTCAACAGATGAGTAAATGAGAGTTGAACTCAGGCAAGAAGCTGTATGTATGTGTACTTTTAGTCTGTGTTTGTGTTTGTTTTATTGAGAATGAAATGGTTGAAAAGAGGCTTCACATGCAGCAGTGAAAGGGGACGTAAATGTTGGAATAATTCTAGTGTGGTCTTCCCATTTGATTGTAAAATTTACGGGTTAGATATATGGTTCATAATGATATTGTGATTGGGGCCAAATGTATTAAGGGGAAAATTTCATATCTAAGAATTTAACTATGACTCATTTCAAAATTAAGAAACTATGTTTATAACTTCAAAAATTAGCTACTATTAAATTTTATTTATTAATTTCCCAAATTCTCAAATCAATTGGTTATAATTTTTCTTGACCACGATTCAAAATTTAAATATTTTATAGACTACAAATTATTTCTCGATCAAAAATCTAAATTTTTTACAGGTAACAATTTATTTATCGATCACAAAATCAAAATATTTATAAGTTACAATTCATTTATTAATCACATATCACAAATTATTAAATTAATTGTTTTCAAGTTATTTCTTAATCACAATTTAATAAATTCTGATTCACAATGATATTTTTTAGATCAAATATTATATATTGATCACAAATTTATTTGTCACAACCAACCAATTCATTGGTCAAAAACACTCTTGGTCACTGTCGCCACCACCATTGCCATTGCTTACACTATAATCGTTTGCAACCACCACCTCAGCATCATCAACAATGCCTAATCCACCATCACACCACCTCACCAATGCCATTGCCAACAAAAAACACCCCCAAAAATTAACAAAATCCAACCACCCCTACCAACACCAACGCCGCAACTGCCACCTGAACCACTATCTCTAATGACACCATCACCTTCAATACCTTAGTACAACTATTCACAATACCACAATCACCACCACAAAACC